ACACACAGGAGTCAAACATATTTTGGACTATTCTGGAGCAGCAGAAACCTCTTTGAGACAAGGACACATAGAATCCCTGCCCACATATCAGCCTGTCGTCGCTTTATGGAAAGATTCTGAGAAGTCTGGGTGATTTCTTACCCTGCCTGGCATGTTTATGGCTCAGAATGTGTGTGCGTGTGTGTGGCCCTCCAGATATAAGTGCACCAGCATGCCCAGAATGCATGGTGTCATCTGTCTATAAGGTGGGCTTCAGTCCAAACACTCACTCTCATAGGAGAAACAATAATATGGAGACACAGGCTTTCTTCTGTTGGATCAGCAAAGTCTCAAAATGCAGCACATCCCCATAGATGCTAGATTAGGAGTCATAATTCACACCTTTCCTCTCAGTGATTACATCACCCATTAAGCATGATTCAGCCTCTCAAGGCTCAATGACAAATAGTTTATCATCCGAGAGTGATATATTTGCCTGAGATCCGCTGTGCACCGCTTGCCATTTCTAAATGTTAGTTATTGGTTTATGCATAGAGGTCAGGTAGGGCTGTCTGTGGCCCTGGGCTAAAAGGAGTCCCACAAGTAATCATTATCATTAGGTTTGTTTTCATTGTAGTCTCTGCGGTGTGGTATGGACTTTGCTTTACATCCAGGCTCCTCTCCCTGACCCTTGTGTTAGCACATGTTGGCCACATTATTCCGCTGCTAACAAGCAGCCATTAATAAATCACGCTTTGCTCATTACCCGGGTCCTGATATCAACCCGCTTGCTGTGAAATTGATCTAGTGTGTGCGCTTCTTCACTTGAGACCCCATGCTTCTGTCCTTCACATCATGCAAGGCATCAGTCAGCGGCTTGTATCCTCTCGCAACCTTCTCCTTTCCTCTCTTTAAAGTTCATCTCTCTTTTCGTCACAGTTTATCTGATGCAACTTTGATCTATGCACATATTCATTATCATTAAATCTGATCGTTGGTGCCAAAAATCTTCAAAAATGTATGATTTTTTTCTTTGCTTAGGAATCTTTACTGTTCTTGGAACCCTAAAATTATTAAACCACAAAAAGTGTTTAAACTCGTCATTAAACTAGCCAATTCACTGCACCCTTTAAAATGTATGTGTAGCGTGGTACAGAGTGAAGTAGCCCTCCACTACACATTTAATTTGAAAGTCTTTTATTTTGTTCTGCAAAGAGCCAAAATATACATATTATTATCACAGTTCGCCACACACACACACCGTGACTTCACTCAAGTGTATGTTTACGTTCTCTGAACGTATTCTCTATACTAACACAGACACAAAATGAACATCTGCATCAACATCCAAACAATAATCATGTCTGTTGCATTGCTATTCCAGACCAGTTTCATCTTGTACATTCAATATCAATTTGTTGCTCCGATATACAGTCAGCCAATCATGTCTACCTAACATTGTCACATTAACCAAATCACTTATGTATCTCTTTTAACTTATTTATTTATCTATTAACTATACACGAGCAGTCCGGGCTCTTTAGACCGGCTCATTGTTCTACTTTCCCGCCTCACGCTCGTTCAAGCTAACAAGGCCACCAGTGCTAACTACTGGCTAGCCATTTTCAGTACGTTACGTTTGCTGAACAAGTAACGTTCATAAACACTACTACATAAAGTCCAACCGGGATCATCAACTCACACATAACATATTCACTCATCAATTACACAATTCCAACTCTCCGTTCTTACCTGCAAAGAGCCAAAATATACATATTATTATCACAGTTCGCCACACACACACACCGTGACTTCACTCAAGTGTATGTTTACGTTCTCTGAACGTATTCACGCGAGACTTCACTTTGTCCCCAACACCGTGTAGCGAACGCGCCCTCTGCTGGTCGGAGTTAGACACTACATTTTCCAACAATAAACCAACCATTCCTTATCAGAAAACACACAGACAATTCTCACCACACTCTGAACATGAGCTGTATTAAATGCAAATCATGTTAAACATGTAATTACTAATAATGTAGGTATATCAACCCACTAATGGCTCTGTATGCCACATATGCCCTTTTAAATAAGTACATAAACTCACCAAAAAAAACTTTCCAGCTGGCCCTGAATGTTGATTAAAGTCATACATCACTCCAACCCTCTTCAAACCGATTTTTCAGCACGCTCAGGTTCTGAAATTGTTTGAGTTTGAACACCAATGAGTGTTCCCAATTAGCCCCGTCACTCATTTCATTCCCAGAGGCTCTTCTTCTCCATTACTCCTAATGAGATCTTTTTCAGAGCAAAATCCCAAGGCCAAGTCCTCCGATTAGACCTTTTTTTTATGTAAGCCTTTTCAGTAAGCCGCATGGCCATTGGTCCAGATTGTAAATGAGTCTGGCTGGCTATTTGAACACAGATGTTATAGAAACCTGCCTGGGCTAATAAACACCGGCACAGGCCTCGCTGCCATCCGCTATGCTTTCCTCATCCAGAGCTGGCACATATGGCCGCGGAGAGGAATTCAGCTCCTGCGTTATTAAATGAGAACCGTCTGAAGCTGATGGGATTTGATTTTGTCTCTATTTTTGGACCCAAAATAAATCTGGGACTTACTGTATAAGCCCCTTGAGCCCGCAGACAGGAACAAAAGTATTCCGTCTCTATATGTGACTGTTTTTTTTGTTAGTCTCCAACCATCCAAATCCTATGAGTAGCCAGGAGAGAGCGAGAGAATAGCATGGTGGAACCTCATTTATTACTCCCATCTGTTTATGTATTTTTTACTCGTGGATGTGAATTTGAGGCGCACGAATGACCAGCGCTCTGTGGCATGCAGATGTTCCGTTCCTGCTCTTTAGCGTCGAGTCATTAAGTGTGGTTCATACTGTATATAAGGTTGGCAGACAATGCTAGCTGGCTCTGGACGTATGGTTTTTAGCATGCCAGAGCTCGATGGAGACTTTTCAACGCTGTTCGCCCTGGCTTTGATTTTCTCGTTCATTCTTACACACCCTTGCACATGCACACAGCCAATATCTCCTCAGTAATCTACTCAAGACTCTGGTCACCATTCCATCTCACGCCAACATCAAAGGGTCTCGTCTCTCATCGTGGTCTGGAAAAACCTGCTCCAACGCTGCTTCCTGCCTCGATTCCACGTTTCAACGGCGGCTGCACGAACCACCATTACTCCTCATTAACGTCAGCTCGTCCTGTCAGAGACGCTGTTAATGCTTGTTAAAAATAAGCGTGCTGCTTCAAGACTGAAGAGTTAGCAATCTTTTTTTAAAGCCTTTCAGTTTCACACTACTCTCCTTCTCCTCCGTTATGGATGAAGGGGTTGTACGGTGGGGTTAAGTAGACACCACAGAGGTCATAAGGAGAGCATTTGTTATCACTGGTGGCTGAAAAATTCCTTGCGTGTCCGAGAACTAAGGAAAGCTGACCTCTCCTGCAGGCTGCCTGTAAGTCTCGGTGAAGTTAGGAAACGTTAACATCATCAAAAGGCTATTCTTAACACAGTAACAGAAGCCAGAGTGACATATAGAGGACCGTGTGTGCATGTTTTCTCTCTTCCCTAGCAGTGATGCTCATGGTTGACAGACAGACACAGGTCTGATGCAAACCAGTGACTTTCTCTGCCCAGCATGAGCATACACACACATTCAAATATATACATGAATCTACAGAACAGACACAGGCTCACGTGCCTCTCTGACCCAAACGCCTCTGGCTTTCTCCCTGTGAGAGTACAATAGCCGTCCAGTAATGCACAGCCGTTCATGATTACTTTATAAAGCCCTGCATATATTGAAGGCACAATGTTTGATATTCAATCTGTATCTCTCTTTCCTCCTGGCCAATTTTGATAATGTGATTGCAGCAGACCTCGCTCTATTCAACATTCACTTGTATCCAATAAGCCCTTGTCTCCCATCTCAGGAAATTAAGTTGTCATCCTCTTTCATTAATGTGAATATCATTTCATTGCTGTTTATTGAATTCCAGGTAACAGAGTATGGCCAGAGGTGATTTTAATAGTGGGGTTTTATTTTTAAATATCTAACGTGTCACTACATTATTAATACACACGATGCATTAAAAGCCCTTTTTTATTAAAATGATTTAGGGTCTATATTCCAGCTGAACGTGCTCCAGTTAAAGGGGCCCTATTATGTTTATAATCACGTACAATGTGTTGGAGCACTAGCCAATAGAAGCGCACATGTAACATAGTGATGTCACTATGTTTTGGAAGTAAACAAAGGAATAAATTCCTAAATTCTCCCACACCACTCCGCTCCTCCGCTCCCTTCACTGGCTTCCGGTAACTGCTAGAATCCACTTCAAGACACTGGTACTTGCTTACCATGCTGCGAATGGATCTGGCCCTTCCTACATCCAGGACATGGTTAAACCGTACACTCCAGCGCGTGCACTACGCTCTGCATCAGCCAAACGACTCGTTGCGCCCTCGCTGCGAGGGGGACCCAAGTTCCCATCGGCGAAAACACGTGGGTTTGCTGTCCTGGCTCCAAGATGGTGGAATGAGCTCCCCATTGACATCAGGACGGCAGATAGCTTGCACATCTTCCGGCGCAAACTGAAAACTCATCTCTTTCAACTCCACTTCGAGCGTTAGAACTATTAACGAAGCACTTTTATACTAATAAAGGACTGGCTTACCTAAAGCCAGTTGAGTAGCACTTGAAATGTTTGGCTCTATGAAACCTGATGTACTTATATGATTCTGTTTTCTTCAAGGTTGTGTCTTCCTGGTCGAATGTACTTATTGTAAGTCGCTTTGGATAAAAGCGTCAGCTAAATGCAATGTAATGTAATGAATACAATCGAGGCGTTTCAGCCTGGGGGGTAATGCGTGGGAGAAAAGCATAATAGGCCCCCATTTAACATTCTCCTAAACATTTAAAGAGAAAATATTGTCTTGTCTTGCCCTTTGGAAAATGTTCAGCAGTGTTTCTTACGTGTCCTTCTTTCTTCACCCTCCACAGGTGGACCTTGGGTTCTTGCGGTTCGTCTCGGCCATAGGTACACAGGGCGCCGTTTCCCAGGAGACGCACAAAATTTACTTTGTCAAATCCTACAAAGTGGACGTCAGCTCCAATGGAGAGGACTGGATCACTTTGAAGGAAGGCTCCAAACAAAAGGTAAGATACTTTATTACTGTTTATCCTCAAGTAATGAATAAAGAAAGTGAAATGATGGGGAAAAGTAAAGCTCGTAAAAACGTTTCTAAATATGGTCGCACCCCTAGCTCTACATGACAGTGGACTAGTTATAACGATTATGTATGCTTCTGCCACCATCATAAAGTCACTGCTTCACATTGTTGCCACTTGAAATATCCTATCTTGCTTAAGTAGTCTGCTGTCTTGAATTGTGGTGCTCTATTTTGAGTTGCCTTTAGGCTCATCAAAAGGGGGAATACCCAGCTATATGTACTTGAGTCTCTGTCTCCCAACATGCAATTATACACTTTCCACTGTTTGGTAATATATCCACCACCGTCTACATAAGTGGATAGTATTTCCAGCACAGACTAATGCAGAACTGCAGTAGCCATAGGGAGGATTATGTAAGGAATGTAGCCTCTGTTTCATGTCAGGCACCCGTCAACTTGTCGTTAAAGAAGCAGGGATGACAAAAGACTTGACAAACAAGAGTTAAATGGATAGAGGGAAAGAGGAGAGGCTGTCATGTTTGAGCAGCTGGTTGAGAGGGAAAAGAAGAGGGAACGAGGGAGGGATGGCATGCCTGACCGGAGAGCCACAGGCTGTAACCATCGATTGCTGATCGGAACAGGTTTTCTCCATCTGGAGGCAAACAACCCTCCGTTGTGGGTGTACCAAGGGTCATGGAGACATGTGTGTGATGTGTAAATACGACAAGGAATTTTGGATTGAAAGACAGCGAAGCCGCAAGTGGAACAATAAAAGTTCTCAACAGCGAAAGAACATCCAAACAAGCGTGTTTGTGTCTCTCAGTACACATGGCCCCGGGCTTGATTATTTTATGGTCTCTCCAGAGTACACAGTCCCTTCTGTAAAGTGGTGGCTTAAAGGTGCCATGGTAAGCCAGGCCTGTGTTTTTCCGGACTCTAAAGTGCTTTTGTGTGGAGGGGCACCATTTGCTACATGCTGAGCCTGCAGTTTGGCGTCCCAGCGCCGGAGAAAGCCACTTTATACAGTTAGCGAGTGCAGAGGAGAGTCATCGTGACATTTAGGAGAGTGGATGACTTTGTTGCAGTCCCTTAGTGACAGGTATCGCTCAGGGACTGAGTTGCAGACATGTAGGAAGGCTGTATGGACTAATGGATCAGCCATGGTGCGGTTTTAGTCCATCCTAGATTAGCGGAACTGCTTCCTTTCTCTCCGCCTGTCCATCTTGCTCCTCTCAGCTGGACTCCCCTTTGCCCCATTGCTACTCCGTTGAGGGAGGTCAGGAGGTCATATGGTCAGTGGTGTGATTCAATTACGCAGAATGCACTGTGACAGACTTCGGGGAGTTGTTTTGCTGGGTGGCCGGCCTCTTCGTATGGTGCTAGTAAACTGTCATCAGACCCCAGGGGAGAACAGTGGCATCTCTGACCTTTAAACAAGACACTGCAGTAAAACGTCCACCAAATGTGGAACTGAAGGACAGAAAAAGGGCATCTTGAGCCAATCTGGTCTTGTCAGTGTTATACACATAGCCTCAGGTTTCACAGCCACATGCCACAACCTGTTTTTGCTACATATGGCGCAGGAGGTCAATTTCAGGGGTGATGGGTGAATCAGTTTCATCTGTCTTACATGTGTGTCACGTATGTATAAACACAGCATAGCAAAATTGTAAAGATTGTCATTTTAAATATTCTAATGCTACATTTGACAAAACTTGCAGCATTTAATCAAAAAAGCAATATTTTTCTGCCTTCATGCTCCATTTCTTTATTCAATGCAGCCAAGGTCTCAGATGAACTTCCACCCAGCATCTCAACTCAACATGTCAATAATTGACTCTCCTTCCGCCTTTATCACAGGTTTTCCAAGGCAACACCAACCCAACAGACGTTACCAAGACAATGCTGCCCAAACCCACGCTGACGCGCTTCCTGCGGGTCCGTCCCGTTACCTGGGAAACAGGCATCGCACTGCGCTTCGAGGTGTATGGGTGTAAGATATCAGGTAGGTGCAACTGAGATCCCTGCTGATCTGCATACACACATTCACAAATACACACACAACCACAAACATGGAAACATACTCCCTTAAATGCATACTGGCTCTTCGAAAATAAAAACTCTGAATACAGTTAAGTAGCAATATCCTTTTGTTCAGTTTTAGTATCAACAAGACAACAAAATGTCAAAGTATGTCATTAATAGTGCGTTGTTTGGTTCACAATGGTCCTATTGATTTAAAATTACAAGAAATTGCTTTCTTATGCATGAAAATTAGATTAATGTACGTTTTTATGTGTTTTCCCAGACTTCAACACAGCAATGCATTATACTGCTTATAATCTAATTACAATGAACAGATTCAAAAGCCATAATCAGATGAGTCCACTGACTCGATTTAGTATCTCTCCACATGCCCCGGTGTGAGTTTCACTCCCTTGTCTGGCCCCAGTTGCACAAACACCTTGCTTTTGCCAGGTGTTGGATGCAGCTCTATTTCTGTGAGAGTCCTGCTCTAAGGCTAAAGCTAGCTGTTGCATAATAGACGAGTGGCACACAAAGGAGGATTACCTATTTATGTTACCCCATGTTTAGATGTACCTCATTTATAATGAATGGAGCCAACAGCTGCTAGGCAGAGAGAGCCGGAGCAGGGTGGGATGCATACGGTCCCTTCCCTCCTGCTGGGCCCCTCTCAGCCTCCTCTTTAGCCACAGCCTGTCTTTTGCTTACAGAGCTTTGATTTTGTTAAAGCTTCTCTTATCTTTGCTCGTTGATGCTATTTTAATGAGTGGTGTATGTGTGTGACTGACTTTCATATGGTTTCAGCACATCTGTGTGCATCTCTATGGGTTTATGAGCATGTGTATTGAATATGAATTAGTGCTGTGTGTTTTGTATAGAATAGGGAGTATATCTTACAAGGACAAAAAAACAACAACATGTTATTAGTGTTGTTAGTTCAGCATTAATCCTTGGATTACAGTTTGGGTCCGGATTAATTGTAGCCTGCCGAACATGCTTTTATGAACGTTTTTTATGTTTATATGGAGTTATGCATTACATATGTGAGGCGTTTCATGTGACAGCCGAGGGCATTGTGGGTACAGCAGGGTTACAGCTGGGGCGTGTGTCTCGGGCGCTCAACCAAACCGCTGTACAGCGTAAACACATCACAGGACCGTAGTCACCACAGGGCCTCCGTAAGGACGTAAGCACCTCTGGGTGCTATGAAGTCACTGCCAGCTCCACTGCACGCAGGCAGCGCTGAAGGAGAGAGAAACTGCACAAACTCAGTGACTCACTGTACCTTAAGTTATGATACTTAGTGAAAACTTTTGTTGAAAGATTTTTTACTTTTTGAGTACACCTCCACCTTTCCTGAAAAATATATACAGTGCACCAAAATGTGAGATATACTGTATGGAGCTATACGAAAGTATGCATTTTTTCCAAGTACCCAACCACAACTTTAGATATCATGACCATAATTCAGACATCTGATTAGAGGAGGAGATGCGCCCAGAATGTTGCAAGATGTTTTCCACTAAATCATCATGGTCGCGTGCCTCTGCCGATAAAAACATCTACTCGTTAATAAAAAGATCCACCGCCCTGTTGTTTGTAAATATGCCCTGGTGTATAAATATCTCTGATGAACCACTGATGCTCCACCCAAACCCTAAATGTTGGCCACACTGCCGTGTATCGCCATCTACACACTTACAGTCCACACACACATGTTTGTTCCTCAGGGTGTGTCATTGCGTGCCTGCCATCTCTGATGCTTCTGGGATCGCAGCTGAAGTCGATTAGGATCTCCAGATAACCCGGGGAGTTCACCCAAGTGTCTAAACTCAGATCAGACACACAATCACACACATTTACCTTACTCTCATATCCTCCCACTTCAAAGGCAATCCGCTTTCTGCTCAACCAGAGGCTATGACCAGTCTCAAATAGATTTTGGCCAAAGATTAAAGAAAGAAGGTAGTAAAACCCATAAAAAACATCAAGAGGCCTCCACATCGTCAGGGGTTTCTTCCTTGAGCTCTAGAATGCAGGACCCGAGATTTGTCTCATGGGTCTGCGTAGGAGCTGTTTTGGATAACCAGAGAAAAATCTGAATGAAGCCTTGTTCTCCCAAGTTTTCACTCTTTTTTTCCCAGATGCAGCTATGCTATGAGTCCTTCAGTGGTACAGTGCACACTGTCTCATACAGACCCAAAGGATGTAATAATGGCCGGATTTATCCCTCCGTGGGAGCCAGATAGTAAATATTTTATTGCAGTCAGGTCCCTGACTCAGTGTCTTGGGATAAATTGTAAGGAAGACACAGAAAGGAAGATTAACCACCAAAACAAGTATCAGAACATTAGCAATTACATAAAGTTTGTGAGTTTCATCCAATTCTACTTGGATTCAAAATTCACTTTTACACTCACAAAACCTATAACGTTTTACAGTTTGTTCTAGTACTACTGAATTTAACATTAAGGTGTATTAATAGATTGTGTGCCAAAAAATAAACCAGACACAATTCGCTTTGTCAAAATTATCAAATGTCAAAACTTGAAAAGGCACATTTAATTGTTGTTTGTTTTTGATGGGGACGTATGGAGCCTTAAACGCACAAACAAATGGTACATTGCAAATGAATGCTGTGTTGATCAGGTTTCTTAATTAAATCTGTCCAAGTTCACATGTAGACATGTTGTTATTTATGAACGTTTCATGACACTGGAAATCTGTGTTGGTGACAACATGTGGAAATTGCCAAAACAAAATTCCTGGTTTAAACATGCAAATACTTTCCAGCGGTTGGTTGCCTGCTCGGCTTTTGATATTGAGGTATGGCATCAAGATATAAGATGAGAAGGAATACGAAAACAGCTGCCTTCTTTTTTTAAACGAATGGGAAACACATCCAAAGATGCTTAAACCTACAGAGAATAGGCTAGGGTAAGATCAGAGAAGTAGAGAAGAAAAACTTTGAAAATGTGGACAGGAAACAACACTGTGTCGCACAGATGTTGACAGCTGTGGAGCAGAAGGTAGATGAGTGCAGCAGCAGATAAAACAGAGGGAGAATGTGTGTTTATGTGTTTGTATATGTGAGTCTATAGAGGAAGGAGGGGGTGGATAAGGTGGTGAAACGAACAAGCACTCCCAGAATGCAGGACGTGGAAGCACCAACCGAGAGGAGGGTTTTAATTGGCTGCCTGGAGACAAGCGCTTCAGGCAGAGGTATTAGTATGCATGAGATCTGCAGACAGAGAAAATGAGAATAGAGGGAGAGATCACAGCAACATCACAAAGAGTTTGGGGAATTGTCCTCTTCACTTGGTGTTTCACTATTTCTGTTGAACCTCAAACTCACCAAAGAAGACTTGTGGAATGGTAAATGATGTCGAAAATAGGCCTTTAGGTATTGGTCAAGTCTTTTGTTGCACATCATCTCTGCCAAGCTCACCTACTTTTGCTTTGCTTTTGTCTTTTTAGAGTACCCATGTTCGGGCATGTTGGGCATGGTATCAGGATTGATCACGGACAGCCAGATCACTGCCTCCTCCCATACGGACCGGAGCTGGGTGCCAGAGAACGCCCGCCTGTTAACCAGCAGGACGGGGTGGACCCTGCTGCCCCAGCCCCAGCCCTTCACCAGCGAATGGCTGCAGGTGGATCTCGGCGATGAGAAGCTGGTGAAAGGGATGATCATCCAGGGAGGGAAGCACCGTGAGAACAAAGTCTTCATGAAGAGGTTCCGCATCGGCTACAGCAACAATGGCTCCGACTGGAGGATGGTGTTGGACAGCAGTGGCAACAAGCCAAAGGTGAGAGTGTTTCTAGGCATGTATTATGACGATCATGCTGTTGAACTCTGATACATTTTCAAATCAGAAGCATAGCCCTAACCAAAGAACACGTAATGCTTACTTTGTTTGATACAAGTTATAGTTTGATTTGTAACAGAAACACAACATTGTGATATGATTTAAATACATATCTCTGAAAAAATAAATCTCAGCCACATCCGCTCATCGATTCCGATTATGACGCATTCAGTCTAGCATTGCGCCTGGCAGTTGTTAGTCATACAGAAGTCGTTGCTAGTCAATTTCAGCAGTGCTTTGAATCACATTAGGATAAGCATCTCAAGTCTCTCGGAGCCTTTTCCCAGTTCTCTCTTTCCCTGCTTTGTATTCCGCCCGACACACACCGTTCAACCCTTTCAATGGATAGTGAAACCTCTCCAGAGACGAAGGAGGGGTGAAGGGAGCCGGGGGGGGGGGGGAGAAACAGTGGAGGAAAAAAGAAGACGAGAGGGAGGAAAGAACGCCGCAACGTAGAGAAGTGACCCAAGATTTATCTGCCAGCGTCACAGCACGCATGGAAGACACACGCCAACACTTTCCTCTATGCATACACACGCCAACACATAGAGAATCGGTCACGACGAGCACATATACAACCACACACACCTCCAAGGAGACCTGCAACAGCCCGTCCCCAATTACAAGCGTCCCTGACAGGGCATAAATCTGATCCAGATGGGCTGATGGTTGATTTATGAAGGGACTAAGGAGGATCCATATCCCCCCTGTCCTAGTTAGCCTCCTCTCTCCCCTCGCCTGAGAGGTTCCAGCGTCTAAGGTGCACCAGGCTCTTTTCAGGTGATCACACACATTAATCCACTTCCATCAGTCCCTTATCTCCTCTACTTTTGCATCCCACCTCTTTTCCCCTCATTTATTCCTTTTTCTTGAGGAATATCTGAGGCAGAGTTGAAAGAGCCAGGGGTTCCTTTGACAGACTTGTTTGCCATGCTGTGCCACTGCCCCCCCCCCCCCCCTGCTTCACTTGCCTAAGCCATGCCTTAGATGTCAGCAAGATAAGACAGAGCTGGTCACCTACTGTTCTTCCTTGCCACGTACCAAGCACATGCCGCCCTGCCTCTGGTATTCAGGAGGCAGGGATAAGTCTGCCTTGGGGTATCTGCATTTGAAGAGCTGTATCTGTCAAAGGCCCAGCATTTTCTTTTACTCACTCTTTTTCTCTTTGTCTCCATCCCTTCCACCTTTCTCTTCTTTTCGATGCCAGATATTTGAAGGGAATAGCAACTACGACACTCCTGAGCTGAGGACGGTGGAGGCCCTGACGACTCGTTTCATCAGAATTTACCCAGAGAGGGCCACTCCTGCTGGCATGGGCCTACGGCTCGAGCTCCTGGGCTGCGAGATTGAAGGTAAACTAGAACTTGTATTAAAGGTCCCATGTCATGGCCATTTCTACTGATCATAATTCCATTGTTGAGGTATACTAGAATAGATTTATATTGTGCAATTTTCCAAACTCACATTGGTTTCTCATACAGCATCTCTGTATAGTATGTGTATTCACTCTGTCCTACACGGCTTGTTGGAGCTCCCCCCCCCCCCTCCCTGTGAGCCCACTGTGCTCTGATTGGTCAGCTCGCCCACTCTGTTCTGATGAGTCCACCACCATTACAGCGGAACATCAGTGATTATGTGTCACAATGGCGTTAGCAACTAGGAAATGACACCAGTAATGACAAACAGGTGAGAATGCTGCGTGGGGTCTGGGTGGCGTGTTGGCGGGACATTGCGCGGCTCGCTGCTGCGAGGAGCGGACAGTTTGAGCTGGGTTCATTTCCTGCTTGCTGCGTGGGGTCTGCGAGACAGCGAGACATCGCGAATGGACGCTGGAAGGTGTGTGGGGGGGGTGCTGAGGAGGCTGCAGCACCCCCATCTGCGAAGCTCCACTAGCACCCGCACCCCCAAACGCGGCGGACCTACAATGTAAGGCTCCACTAGCACACCCCCCCCAGCGCGTCACAGTTTCGCCGCTGTGTGTGTGTGTGTGTGTGTGTGTGTGTGTGTGTGTGTGTGTGTGTGTGTGTGTGTGTGTGTGTGTGTGTGTGTGTGTGTGTGTGTGTGTGGTGTGTGTGTGTGTGTGTGTGTGTGGTGTGTGTGTGTGTGTGTGTGTGTGTGTGTGTGTGTGTGTGTGAGGAGCTCCACAGATTGGTCCATTTGGACTATCTATAATATCCTTAAAGATTTGGTGCAAAAGATGCAAAGAAGAGATGTTTTTTTCCTACCCATTTCTACCATTGGTGCTTATTTCTCCACCAGCAGTCATGTTGTTTGAACTAATGTTGGTAATATTACTGGCCAGGATTACACTTTTTTTTAATGGTGATGACATTTCAAACACCTTTCACCATGGCAATGGAATGTTATCTCCTGGTGCTGACATTTCCAGACATAATTCTCATTTTCTACCCGCAATGACAGCCTTACCTTGACTCAGAGCGTTTGTTCAGACATGTGTTAGTATCTGACATTGACGCACACGCAGGTTAGCCATCTATCATCAGAGCTAATGACAAGTAGCTTTCGCCTCATGTCTGGGTTATTTAAAGATGTGGCAGGTCCCAGTGTTGAGCCAACAGCTGTTCAGCCCCTGCTCTTTATCCCTACAAGGGACAGTTGTCTTGTCTTCTTGTTACATCAAGGTTACCGCCATAGCTAGCCACTTCTAGAGGGTATCAAATGAAAGCCCACCTGGCCTGGTAGGATTATTGCAACAAGGCCCGCATCGCACTCTTCCCAACCCCTGCATGTCTTGCTTCTTTCAAAGGACCGCACACACTTTACTATCTTTAAAATTACCCCTATTTTTCTCCAGCTCTTTATCTGTCTCTCTCAAAGCTGATGTAGCCCAGCTCAGCATATAAGAGTGTGCAGCGCGCTAGCTCTAAGTGGATTTACATATTGGATTTCAGGGAGGCCCATTCCGTTGTAAGCCTCATGGACTCCCACCGGGGGCTTTAGTCAGATGATAATGCATGTTTTCAGTGTTAATGCCAAATACACACATACTTGTATATACACACGGAGCAACCGCAATCACCCTGCCAAATATGTGGTTACAGGCAGGGATACACAACCAGGCACTTACACAGGTGCTTCTCTCTGTGTGTGTGTGTGTGTGTGTGTGTGTGTGTGTGTGTGTGTGTGTGTGTGTGTGTGTGTGTGTGTGTGTGTGTGTGTGTGTGTGTGTGTGTGTGTGTGTGTGTGTGTGTGTGTGTGTGTGTGTGTGTGTGTGTGTGTGTGTGTAGCAGGCCATAGCAGGAGGGCTAAATCCTCATTTCTGTGAGAGGCTCCCCTGACGCAGCATTGACCCCATCCCTGACCTTCCCCACCCTGAATATGACAGGGGCTGATCTGCCTCATATTTCATCTCACAAAGGGAGAGAGCGAGGGCATCGGCTCACACACACAGATATTGTACACATACAGGCAGTTTTCCCCTATCTGTCTTTGCCTCGCTTTTTTTTCCACCTCTCGTTTATTACTCAGTCAGTGTAAACACACACGGCTGTGCAGCAGCGGAGCGTGGAGTAGATCTAGGGCCATGCCCACATCCAAGTGTAGCGGGGCCATAATGATAGGCCACTAAGGAAGCAGAGGGCCCTCCCTATATAGCCAATCCCAAGCCAGGTCTCTGCATTTCTAAAGTTTCCGCTGCTCTAAGGACCAGGCTTTAGCTTTATTTATACACCCACACCTCCGTAGCATGATAAAAAGAGGGATTTGAATAGCTCATGCCTAGATTGAAGCCCAATATGTTACTGTGGGTAGAACATACTGAGCTTCCAAATAACATATTTTCAGAGTTTTTTTGTTTCTCATGCTAGCACTCCTTACATCTCATTTATTTGAAAATTCTAAGTACTTTTATTCCAGTACAGTTCCAGTTTGTTTTTCTTTGCGATGTCACATTCCTTTGAGATATTCAACCCGTGCAGCATTTCCCCTCTTAATATCAGTGTAATGTTTTACATTGTTAAGGGAACTGATGGTTTGCTTATTAAAATGTTTTAATATGAACTAAACTAAGGCATTCATCCAATATTACCTTGAAATCTAACCTATGCGGCCTTCTGTCTCTCTTCCGCTCCGTCTATACAGCTCCCACACTCCCTCCTACCACGGTAGTTCCAAGCACCACTCCGTCGGACGACTGTGACGACGACCAGGCGAGCTGCCACAGCGGCACAGGTGATGACTACGACGTGACAGGTGCTGACATCGCCCACATGAGACTGCAACTAAACTCCCCCGCCCCCCTCTTGCACTTCCTTCTGCCACTGCTCACACTCTATCTGCTTCACTCTCCCCGGCTTCCCTTCTCTCTGTTATAGCCAGATTTGATACCGCCGCTAATCTGCCACCTACTTTTTTTTTGAAATATATGTATTTGACAGGGACAGTGCACATTGATTGACATTTCTGTAAATGCGCCAGAGTTAGCCAACAGGCTATTTTTCGTCTGTAGGCCTAGTCCCTGGACAGATGTTAAAAGTCATCCTAAAAACAAAAATTCACTTCAAATAACAGGTAAATACAATCAGTAAAACAACATTCAACAGAGATACTTTATGATAAAAGCATATATAAAAACATAAAAACTAAACTAAAATACACGCGGTACATGATGCTGTTTACACACCTCTAATTATCTGCACCTGTATCATCCCTCAGGATTGTCGCACTTGCGCCAAAGATCGCCAAATGCGCCACACACAGCTGCTTCTAAATAGCCGGCTCTGCCTCTCTCTATCCTTTCATCTCTCATCTGCCTTGTCCACCGGCTCCCTCTTTTCAGCTCACTCCTCTTGGCCTCATTTCCCACTAACCCAGTAACTCTCTGAGCCTGCTGCCTGCACTCCCCATTAACCAGCAGTCTCCAATGATGAGCATGGCACCGTCTCGGTCACGTGTTACATGACGTTATAGATGTTAGATATATGAGGCAGGGGACTTAGCAGACTGAAGAGAAAGACAGGGCATGTGTTAGATAGCTATTTTTAACTAGCAAGGAGACATTTGATGCATGAATGTAGTTATTTGCAAACAACGTAACTCTTGCCAGGCTGAGCTAACCATGCTAATGTTTTGTGTTACAGCGGGTACCATAATTCCAGAGACCACTACTGCGGAAGTGGATACCATCCCAGGTGAGCAAAAACATATTTATTACATATAGCCTATACTCCGCCTATGTCTCAAAAGCATGATAAACATACTAACAATTTGTAATAATCTACTTATAGCATTGGTTAATTTAGTTATTAGCGGTAGTAGTAATGCTTTATTAGAATAATAATAACACATCAAATACAATTTTATAAGGAGTTATAATGTTAATTAGGGAAAATTGCTGGTCATTCATTGATGATGTTTTTTTAAACAATGACCACATAGTGTAACTAGGAATCACATTACCATACAATGTAAGAAGATAATAATGTTTTGAAAGTGATTGGAATTATAATAACCTATATTACGTTTTTGGATACTTGACCTTAAAAGTCATTACAATATAATTGGCAGATCATAACGCATTTTAAGTATGTTTATCTAGCATTATAGACATGTGCGTCATAGATAGTGTGACCAATTATTCTCTTTCCCTTCAATGATTCCACCTCTTTCTAAATGCTGAACCTGATGCCATCAAACGTTACATGATGAGAATGTTGAATCGTGGAATAAATATTTAACCGCTCAAGGTTTTTCTGAATTAATTTCCATGGATTTATCAAAAAGCGTACCTTAGCTAATGATTGCCAGCTTGAGGCGGCCTCTCTGATGTGTGTCTGTTATTAAAGCTGATGATATGGCCCTGAGAGGCTCCTGCTGACAGGGTGAGCGAGGTTGTGTGATGCAGGGCTAGCTGATGATTAGCACTAGTGCTCTGTTGCTGCCTCCTCAGCATAATCACTAATCACTGGGCCGACTCTGCCACACACTCAACACACACACACACCGTAACACAAAAACAGAAGAGCACAATGCAAATGACCACAGGAAATTGGGTGTGCTTTGGGGTCACATGCAGACACACACACACACAGTGCTGTTTCCTATAGCAGGTTGATGAGGCAGCAGCCAGCTGAGAAGCTGTGCCCCAGACTGACCTTGGCTAATGGGCCATAGGCTCCACCCACCCCCCCTCAGCTGGCTCTGTGGTCTGTCTGCAGTCTGCTAGGCCACCAGCTATGATAGATGAGAGCTAAGGTGCAGGTGTGTGTATCCACATTTGTGTGTGTACAAACAGAACTACATTTCTGTGGATAAACACTCATCCGCCTGACTTTTTATTTGAAGACCACGCCTGTTAATCAGTTCTGCCTATCTGTGTGTGTTTGTTTGGGTGTGTGCGTGCCATGCACTCTAATCTCCAAGGATCTACTTTCTGATGACATTTGGCGAAAAAAAGGCTCTTTTTCTATTCATCAAATGGCCAAGTGAGTCATATGGCTGCTCATCTTATCCACAGCTTGATGGTAGCCTTAGTAAAAGCCTCCCAAGAATGGAAAAAGACATTTAATTGGGAATGGGTTGTCTCGACGAAAAGAAAGGGGCTTGGCGTCTCGAATGTGGTTCCACATGGGAATTCCATCCTTTGAGTTTAATGGGCAAATAGAGCCGTTGCCTGTAGAAGCTAGTTAAAACATTCCCATTATTAAAGGGAATATTGGCTCATTAACTGTATCTCTAAAAGCATCTCATGCTGGAGTCTGAGGTCCTGGCAAACATCCCAAACATCTCGCTCCCTCTCGTTCCTTGGAAGTCTTTCTTTATCGAATTTGAAGGAAAAAAAACACTAAAGCCTGCGCTCCCACACATTGTTTTGCCTCCACTGAGGCTCCTTCAGCGCGGTGTGTGTCCATCCATGGGGGATTGCATTGTTGGAATGGGGCCCCGGCTCTGTTACCATAGCTGTCTTCAAACCTCAAGTCTCTGCTCTCATTAAAATATTGAGCTCTCTGCGGGTCGCTATGAATGCTTTCTCAACTGGACACCTTGTCCAGACACCCCATCTTCCTCTTTCCCTGTCTTTTGTGCTCTGCCTCTTCTAAGTATCCCTCTATACCTCTGTATATGCCCTGTTACTTTGATTAAAGAAGTCATTACTGTAGCCAAGACATAAGGTATACATGAGGTCTGGGCTGTCAGCTCCTCTTTTTGAGCCATAACTGTCCCTGTCTGGCTCTCCCTCCTGAGTGCCGTTTTTATCTCCCCCAGCAATGGGACTCTGAGCGAACATCCCACAGTTCTTTGCTGCCCTCTAGTGCTTTGTATTGATCAGAATGAATGAATGAGGCTCCAAAGTGTAGCCTACAGTCACATCATGACAGGCCCCCAGGTCATTGTTGGTTGAAAGCCCATAGCTCCTGGCAATTTCTCCTTTTGTAATAAGGAAGATGATGAAATACGATCTCCTGTCACACGATCTTCACCTTTTGTTTTCTTCACATTTGCAGCTTTTCTGTGGTTTGCCTGTGACTTCGGCTGGGCCAACGACCCGTCCTTTTGCAGCTGGATATCAGAGGACACTGGCTCCAGGTGGCAGATCCAGTCCAGCGGCACCCCCACCTTAAATACCGGACCTAACATGGACCACACAGGTAAGGGTTCCACTTAATTTATCCCACCTTTTTATGAACCTCCTCTTGTTTCTTTTCATCCGCAAAGTTGTTTTATCTGTCACTGATACAAGCAATTTTTTTTCCAACAGGCGGATCGGGGAACTTCATCTACACCTTGGCGACGAGCCCCCAGGAGACGGAGGTGGCTCGGCTGGTCAGCCCCGTGGTCAGCTCCCCGGACTCAGACCTGTGCGTGTCCTTTTGGTATCACATGTTTGGGCCACACATTGGCACACTACATATTAAACAGCGCAAACAGACCGTTGACGGACCGGCTGACATCCTGCTGTGGACGGTCAGTGGTCACCAAGGGAACCGCTGGAGAGAAGGTCGTGTCCTCGTGCCACGAACCAACAAACCCTATCAGGTAAACGATTAGTCCATGAAATGATTGAAGTATTAAACCACTGTACCCATGGTGGTTCCATTTTGGTATCCAAAAGAAGTTGCTGAAAAAGTTCTTTTTTTCAAGGTGGTGCTGGAAAGTCTGGTGGAGAGAAAGAGCTGGGGGGACATTGCTGTTGATGACATTAAAGTTCTCGATGGACTCAGCATGGCGGACTGCAAAGGTAAGGCTTTCAGTTTTCATAGCTTCAATGCCTGCATCCAGCGCTTGATCTGCAATTTCACTACACAGTTTTCTTTGACATTGGATTTCATTAAAATTTCTGTTTGAACAGATCCTGACGTACCCACCGAGTCGATGCTGCCAGAGGACCGCCTCAATGAAATCCGTAAGTTATTTCACACATGGAGGGTTTATTAGCTGTTTCCCTTTTTGAGAACTATTTGCCCACATTTCAAAGTTTATATCACATCTCACTCTCCTTTTCTGCATCTCTCTCTCCCCTCCAGTTGAAGACATCACTGAGTACCCAGACTTTGTGGAGACCAACCAGATCAGCGGAGCAGGCAACATGCTGAAGACGCTCGACCCCATCCTCATTACCATCATCGCCATGTCCGCTCTGGGGGTCTTTCTGGGGGCCATCTGCGGCGTGGTGCTGTACTGCGCCTGCTCGCATGGAGGCATGTCGGACAGGAACTTATCAGCCCTGGAGAACTATAACTTTGAGCTAGTGGACGGCGTTAAGCTAAAGAAAGACAAACTCAATGTACAGAGCTCATACTCGGAGGCGTGAGGAGGGACTGAATGCATCATGTGACTGTATCACGTGCAGAGCGTGCACAAGACTGGCTGTAGGCTTATCCTCTCGTATCTCCACGAGAAGGCAGGCTCAAAGGACTGCCAACACCCTCAACACTCTGGATGAGGGACAGGTTCAGGAACCAATGGGAGGTTTGGACTGATCCACGCTTTTCTCAGGAGCTGCAGTAAAAATAACCTACCAGTAGGGGACACTGTGTACAAATAAACATACAGAAAAAAATATGTACAGATGATTTAGATGATATTTTAATTTTCTATTTTGATTTTCATTCATTTTTACAATCGGATGCTGGTGTTGAGACCAATTTATTAATAATGTTTAAAGTATTTATCGTTTTCTGGGAAAGAAATTTCTTTTTTTTATTATCAGTTCATGAAGGCTGTTTATTTTCAAGTTCGGAAAGAGATGTATCAAAATGAACCATATCCGGCAAAACTGTAGATGTGCCCAATGATGAGCATACAGGGTGGGCTCATAACCCTTGACCCTGAAACATGTACTCTCTCCCCTTTGACCTCTGTCACTCTAAAGTGAGGGTCCCATTCATGGCAATGTATGGTTCTGACAGTGCCTTTAGTACATTTCGGTTGGCCTCCTCTGTTGATGTGGGCGGGGTATTTTTTACTGTACTTGGCAAAAGTTATGATGACAGGAAACAGGGGTACATTATCTTTAATACCTGGCAAACAAGATATCAGTCACAGCGCTTTGTTTTGTTTTTTTCTGTCCAAAAAACCATACACTGTAAATACGTTTTAATATATTTTATTGCCCTTTTTAAAGAAAGGAAAAAGGAAAAAAGCTGCAGTATCCCTTTTTTCATGGGTGTGTGTGTGTGTAAATACAATCTTCTGACTGTTTTTTGTGGAAGATGCAGTGTTATGGTTTTCTATTTTAGATTACTTTGCTCAGATGAGTAATATTTGTGTGATATTACAGCGATTTCAATGTGCATTCAAGCCATCTGTCACGAAAACACCCACTTCACCAAAACCACCACAGGATGAATTAATCAAAAGGTAACAACAACAAAAACCGAATCTCTCATATCTTCATCAGATCTCTGCTTCGAATTTGATTGATCCCCAGAACATTTTAATAACACATTCACGACAACGGCAAAGGAGGTGGTGAAATATAAATATCTGCCAGCATACCAAAAAACAATCATCATTACTTTGCTTTAGCTCAGAACTAGCTTCTCACCTCCAAACGTCACTGTGGATTGTTCACTGATGAAGTGCCCTCTGGACAATGCAGCTTGAATGCACTTTGTTATTGATTCCCCCCCGATAGGAGCCAATTAAAAGAGGGGTAAACACACTAACTGAAGAATGGTGCTATCATTCCTTTAGCCAGACACATTTGTCTGAAGATAAACCCAGTTTGTATTGTTCACATGCTGTATTGTAGCTTAAGGCCTTTCTCGGTCCGCAAAGAATTTGTACGTGTTTCACGTGTAGCAGCCATAACGTTGTGATGTCAGAGCTGATGTCATTAGGACGGGACACTGGTACAGCGGGGGGATCGAGTGGCGTCACCTGAATCAGGTCACCTGGCTCCCTGTGTGTGGCTATACCAAAGGATGGTCGCCCCCTTCTTTCTCACCGGGGGTTTTCATGTACAGGTCAATAATGGTCATCACTCACAAACTTGCTCGGTCAAAGCCCCCCAAGAAGAAATCAAGAGGGGGAACGCTTGTAGAGAAAAGCAATGTGTGATGCTCTTTTTTTAATCTCTTTTTAAGCTTAAAAGAAGTGCAGCTGTCACCTCAATGTGAACTCTTTTGAATCTCTCTTGTTTGCTGATGGATGGATGGAGGGGACAATCCCACCACTAGACGCTTCAAGGGGAACTCCCTGTGAGATTGACAATTTCAGGACACAATGGCGCAAGGGACCGGAACTCTGTGGTTTTTCCACACCACAATAAAACAATCAAAAATCCTGAGAAGGGTGACGTCTTTCACATCCGTGTGCTTTGTAATGAACACATTCTCAGCTTGTTCATTTCAGATTTGACCTCCCACTCCTCTCGACACCTTTTGTCTGCGCTCGCAGCTACACGGAGGACTGTAGCTCCAGCGACGTCTGCTAAACTAGAGAAAACGGATACTGTAGCGTGGACTCAAAACAAACAATGTTGCACTGATAAATATATTTAAGAGGTTTATGTGTTTATAGCATTTCTTTGCAAAAAAAAACCCAGAAGAAAGTCAAAAACACAAAAAACACGTGTTCATTTCTTTCCTCTTTTTTATAAATCTATATATATAGTTTCAGATTATGTGATATAATTCTGAAATGTAAAAAATATTATGATGTTTTCATTATTGAAAAAGGCATAAAAGATTTCCCAACATTAATGTCCCTCCCTCCATTTACATGGCATATTAGCGCTTCGTTTTGTACTGTCATTCAAATTTTGTGCAGATTTTTGTTTGGTTTTTTACAAGAACAAGAAAATAAGACTTTTATTTTCAATACTGCTTCTGTAATTTGCTGTTGTAGGAAAAAATGAATAAACAGCAAAGCCTTAAAAATAAAAAATAAACGATATTTGTTTTGTGAAACTCCAACTTTAGATCGTCTCAGATCCACATCAGAGCTGTTAAGGGTTACACCAGCAGCTCTCTGAAGGAACATCTGTTTTCTGCATGAAAGTAGCTTGAATTACAGCAATACACTGATATAAACAAAAGCATGGTGCCCAGGTTTTTCTTACAACCTAGCACTTCTAAGACTAAAACGAAAAAGAATCTTCATACGTAGGAATTTGAACATTTACTTACTATAGGTTATTTTTCAATAACAGTTGTTGGAGGAGATCTAAGATCAAATGCAACTGATTCTGACAGCAAGTAATAAATAGGGACTATATTTTCCTAGATCTCAGAGCAGATGGAAACAACAAGTGAAGCATGTAATTATTACCCACCTATTAGTAAACAGCGGTAAACTGATGGAGCGTAGGGCGGGTACTGACCACTAATGTGAACCTGATGTGAGCCACTCAGTCGCTCTGACTCGCTCAGCTGCTTTTCTAGAGGTCTATCATTAGCAGAAATTAAACCAGTCTCCACTGATTTACGTTTCCTATGAGGAGGTATCCATAAGTGTTGCAGTGTCTTACTTTAGCAGACTTGGAATATTGGCAATTATTTGTGATGCTTAATGTCTTTAAACATTGGTACATATTAGATAAAAAGCACAGCAATGCTTAGTCTCCATTAACATAAACAACCAAATTAGACTTGTAACATCATTGTGCGGCATATTCTTCGTGCACAATTAACTGCAAGAGATTTGTTACTCAGCCCCCCCCCCTAAATCCTTTTTTTAATCTCTTTTAATGCTGCCTGAAGCAAGCATCATGCATTAATTAATAAACCAGTCAACCAATGAAGAAACCAAGAATTATCAACATTTATTCTTACAAAGAATACAGACAAAGTTTTAAAGAAATACTATTCAATAACTGTCAGTGGTGTGTATGACTGGAAACTCATGCAATATTTTGTAAATGAGCACTACCCCTTCCTAATAAGTTGCCCTGTACTGCATTCATGTACTTTGCTACTTTGTACTTCTACTTGACTATACAATTCAGAAGTAAATCATGCACTTTTACTCGACTACATTTATTTAGTAGGCCTACCTTTAGTTACTTTACAGATGTGGATCAATGATGTGAAATATAATCAACTCTTAAATCAGACTGGAGTAAATTCACAAGCTACCCTGCAGTATACAAAGTCATTAAGTAAAAGTAGAAGTACCAGGGTGTATGGATGCTCTGTTACAATTAAAGTCCTGCATTCAAAGTAAAAGTACAAAAGTACAAATACAAATATAATTAAAGTACCAAAAGCAAAAGTACTCATTCTGCAGATTGATCCATTCCAGTTTAATATATATGATATGTTTTAATGAGTTTTAATGTTATAATAAAACTGTCACAGGGACCACACAAGATTTTAACTTATATTGGAGTACTTGTTATCTTTGTATGTGTTAACTACCTCCACCACTGAATTGAACACAGCGCCCCTGACTGCTGTGAACTCTGCCTGCAGTCTACCGTTACACCACTAGATGGCACAGTGGACTATTAGAACAAGGTAGGAATGTCTAACGGGTAGTCGGACTTACTACATTTAACACAACATTTCTACAAAAGTCTCACTCGTTTTCCCCCGGACAAGTCACATAGTTTGCTAAATAAAGAGTTCTCATGACACAAAATGCATTTATGCCATAGTTAAGTCTACCAGTGCCTGTGTGGATGGTTCTTTTCATTGGTTTACATCCAGTCAGATGTAACAGTAAATACATCACACGTATACATAATTGAATTAATGATCACTGATTTCACTTCATAAAAAACACCCATTATTATGTTGCCATGACAATGAAAGTTGTTTGTTCTGAATGTTAAGGAAATTACAGGATTTTGGGATGCTATGAAAGGAAAAACAAGAAAATGTAAAGGAACTATTATTGCATTTTGCTTTTAGCTATTTGTCTCATGAGATGACCAAAACTGACCAAAGGGGGCGCCAGAGCTCAGTGTAAATGAACACTTTAAATCACTTAATTAAAGATAGAACGGTTAAGATAGAAAAATAGGAGGATTGTTACTGTTAAGAGGACTTACCGTCAATAAACAGTTTTACATTTGACCAACATTTTTAGTTGGAGGAGATCACTTGAGTCAGAGGAGAGACATGTCATCTGATAAAAAGAGTTTCCATGAAGTCTTCCATCTTTGGGTCACATCCAGTCTGTCTGAGCCTCTGCTATGTTGCCTTTGGACATGTTGCCTCATCTCTATCACCTCCACTTCCTGTTACTGAGTCAACACTCATCTCTTTACTCTTTTGGTCATTTTTGCTCACTCTTCACTCATGCAACCAAGCAATGCCTCTGATCTCAATTCTTTATTTGTATCAGTGACATGACTGTTGCATCTGGATCATATTAGTCGTACTAATTTACATTAATTTCAAACTTTTGTACTTTTTAAAATCCAATCCAGTAGGGGAGAGGATGGACAAAATGTGAGTTTCGCTCCAGTTAAAGCAGATTCCACTTTTCACCCGTCTCAAGGGGCAAGGAGATAAAGTGCTGCATTTCCTAGTAAACATTCCCTGAGGACTAAACAGGATTCAAGGGTCTTCCGGACATGATGGTTTGTTTTCTTTCTCATTTTTCCCATTACATCTCAAGTGCTCAGACAGAAATAACTTGCTATTAAGTTGAAAGTAAATACATAGCCGGCTATGATGATTATTTTCACTGAAACGGATCCAAAAACGGTGTAGTTAAAGCGCCTCAGCTTCTTCTTTTGTTTAGTTTTTTCAAAATTAACAAAAATATGTTAGTGTTATTTTAAAAGTAGAGGTTTATTAACTTTTGTAATAAGATATGACTTTCTTTATACAAAGACTCATCAGGAACAGACTTAAGACACCAACATTATTTAAATCAGGAGAAATATATGCATGATGAATAAAATACATTATTTTTAGATAAATTAACAATAACACAATTTCTGGTTTTTCATTTCACTCGTCACGAAACCTTGAATTGTTTTTAAGATCGCCTGTATCAAGTTATTGTCTTGTTTTCTTATTGTTTGCGGTCATTTATTAAGAAACAATAAATCATCATGAGGGGGGAAAAATTGTACTTAGCTTTTGGTTTAATTGTTGAATGATACAGTGTTACAACACGATGGTGCTGTTTCTGTACTCAAGTTGCTTCTGTTTATAATAAAAGAGCAGTACATTGATGATGATGATGTTGACAGACAGCCATTATGATGGAGTAACAACAGATTAATGGAACATTTAATAGACGTGTTGCCAGCATCTGTATAAATAGGCAATTTTGTGAGTGGGGGTGTCCTCTACGTAGGCAAGAGGGTCAGACTGGGGCTGCATCAAACCGGAAACATTAAGCAAAAACAAAACAGGATATAATTAACAGCTGCCTTCAAAATAAAAGCTCTTGAAATGTGATAGGTATGTAATGGGTCTGCAATGGATAATTATTTCCAGTTATTTCATTCTACGTATCAGTTTGTAGATGTCAAACCTCCTTTGTGTTTGTATTTTTAGCTCTATTTGTTGTATCCTTCACTAAATCATGATGTGATAAGTGATTATCTGTAAACGTAGGGGTATCAATGTAACAACCACAGGTATCAACGTGTAGCCATTGTCTAAAAAAGGCCCTGTTCTATTACTGATTATTTTTGTGAAATCGGACTGGTATATTATATAATATATATATATATATATAGGGTCAAAGAAGGGTACCACAAACGGCAAATGATTCAAAGTAAAGATAACTTGTTGGTAGTTTTAGTAGTTAATTAAAAAAAATATCTAAAAAAAATGTACATGCTTAAATCCCTATTTGTATATGAATATAGTAAACAGCCAGAAAGCTACTGCAAAAAATCTAAGGTAAACACTTGCTAAATCACTAGTTTAAGTGTTCATATGTCAGCATTCAACAACACTATTGTAATAATTGTATTGTGTGACTTCATACACCTTATGCATAGTAAGAAGAAATAAGAATAATGTCATACTTGCATAACTGTGAACGGGAAAAAACAATTCAATCGAGTTTAAAAACACAGCTGGCGGCAACATTTCAGTTTTATTTTGAAAGGATATAACCGGAAGCTCTGTGTAACACTGTGTTTTGGGTAGCACGAGCGCACCTCAGCGGTTTTGCCTCTCCGCTTTCCCCTGAATTAGACCGAGAAAAAGAGGCACGAGCGCTGCTGGGATTTTGTGTCCCCTCTCCGGCTACCGAACTGTTCCCGCATTTGGTTTTAATAAACACGCTCTACATTTTCCTCTGTGGAGGAAAGTTGGGGAGGGAATGAGCAGCGGGGGAAATTGACCGTGACTTTTTCGGAGGAGAAAGTGGCCCCCCGGTGCCAACAGGGCAGAGAGTTGCTGTCTGTCTGCGGCGTAGCGGACCATCACTGGGAGAACAGCTAGCTTACTTCTTCTGTATGTTGCCTCGGAAATAAAACCACAGCGCCAAGGTAAGAAAGCTAATATACGTACTTTTTTTTTATCTAAGCCTCAAAATATTCTCTAACGATATGTTTTAAAGGTGTGTGCTATATGTTCAGTGTTACATATCAAATTAACACGGATGTCATGGTGCTCTCATTCACTTGGCAACATCCTAATTTTCCTATATAACGGGGGAAAGTAATTGAGTTTGTGATTTACATGATAAGGTAACACTATAAATAGCTTTAACATTTTTTTCTAGTAATGTTTAGGTGCTGGGATGTAGTTATTACTGATATTATTGGTACTGTATGTTGGTGGTGTTGTGTGAGTGTGTGCTCTCCCTATTAATAAATAAATACATCTTCTCTGGGTTATTTTGACCAACATTTACTATTCGATTCACCTGTTTGTTATCAGATGCAACAGGCTGTCATGCACATGTAATGTGGATGGTCATATGAAAGGGCTTCTTCTCAACAATATCTCACATGATATGTTTGAGTTACTCTGGGATCACTTCACATGTGATGCTGACTGCCCAGGGGGGAAGAGAGTTGAAAGTCAGTTATGAATGAAATCCTGGAAACAGGAAACAGAGACCTGTATGGATGGGTTGGCTAGGATTTACAGGAGAGGACTGGATGCAAAACACTCAGTATCTTGGGCTAACAAGCAGCAATGATTGACAGGCGGCACAGCATCCATTGATTTCATGTGGAGGAGGGCAGAAGGATGAAGGCCTGATACATTCAACTGACTCCACAGAGGAGAGCCTCAGCATCAGTTTAATCAGCCTAATGGAGACAGGAAGGGAGGGAGAGAGAACGTCAGGAGGAGATATGGAAGGCGAAGGGCGTTGAGGAAGGACAGTAAGCAGGGAGGGGGAGGAAGGCTAATTGAGGAGGAGGGTAAATGTAGGACAGTGGGGGCGGGGCTAAAGACTTTAGTGGAGCCGGTAGCCACCAGCTGAATGGATGTGACCTAGCCCCGGGGACCAGCTGCTTCCGGCTCCCACCTCATTTACGAGGTCACTTAGAGGGGCCACACCCAGGCCTTTCTACTGGACATGTGACGTTTCCCATGTGTGTGTTTTTCTGATTTTCTGTGTGTGTGTGTGTGTGTGTGTGTGTGTGTGTGTGTGTGTGTGTGTAGGACTGGACAGGAGTGACGAATGTGAACAATTGCCCTCTGCGACACATGCTTTGTGCCGCAGAGGGAGATCCCGGGCTCAGAGGCGTAAAGCAGTACACATAGTCGCCTGTTACAGCCATTTACCTCTACCACACACACACACACACATGCACACGCACACACACACACACACACACACACACACACACACACACACACACACACACTTACCTTGCTAGTTTCACAGCTGATGATCCCGAAAGAGCATATATTTGTGATTTGTTAGACTCTGAATCACATGGCTGACCCACAGCACAAACCTCTGTAGTCTTCTCTACATTCTAAAGGTTTTTCAAAACACATATGGTAGTCTAATTTTGAGTCCAGTTAGATTAAATATACAGTGAGGAAAATGTACGACTTGCTTATTTTCTGTGCAACACAATAATCTTCTGCCGCTTTTGTCCTGTTCCTTTCTTCTAAAGATTATTTTTGGCTCACATTTGTATATTTTCGAAGCTAGATTGCGGTGTGGGCCTTTTGGTTTGTGACCTCCCAGAGCTGCTTTTAGCCAAGCCTTTGCTTTTCTCTATCTTTGTTTTCTTCTCCACATTCTGGGCCTTTTATGGAGGGGGTGTTGTTTCCAAAAACAGCCTCTGAAGCACCGGTGAGGAATGGCATGGTTAAAGCTGACCTCTGCCTGCCAAGGTCTGCTGAGGAAGCGAGGCGAATCATGTTGGTAGTAAATACATAGTAGAAGTTTTTCGTGTTCTGTCATACTGTGTTTACTGTTGTGACTGCGTGAATGTCTAACTGCAAGGGCATTTGAGATGGAAATAAACGTTTATGTGCCTTTCATTCACAAAAGGACTCAGTTCAAGGACACAGAAGAGTTTTTGTTTAGAAATGTGGTTTTATTCATTAACGTGAATGCCGGTAGTCTTCACCACACTTACAATAACGTAGCTGTCAGAGAAATGGTCGTTATACTCCGATGGAAAACATGGGGCTGGGTCACCTCAATCCATTGCTAGTACCGATTATAGTATCAAATAATGTTCCTACGATGTATTTTTGGGCCTTTTATTAGATCGGAGACGGTGGACCGTTGTATGAAATGAATACAGGCCGATGTGAGATAACAAGCAACAAAGCAAAGTATTTAGTGGCGTGTTTTTTTAGATTTTATTGTTAAGATAAATCTCAGTTTCTGCTTCTTGTGTTTAAATCAAGGGCTGTTTGAGAATATCGGCATATTCTTTGTTTAAATAAGGAGATGGTATTAAGAAGCATTTTTTGGTTATGAAACTCTCATAACAGCAACGTTTATATTTCCTTATGAAAAACATTACTTTGGTATTGATGCTAAAAGAAGTTGTCATAATTTACAAATTTGACAATTTTTTTATATCTATGATATCTAAACATTATCTGGACGTCTTGGAAATACAAATGGTATTCTTAGGTATTTTGACATTTGTCTCACTTAGGATTGATGAGGTCCCATGACCCTCCCCTCAGGGCCGTATATGCATGGACACAGAACCAACACAATGCAAACCGTGTTCTCTGCCCGCGTGGACGTGGTCAGTTACGCTGATGTCTCACTGCTGTTAGGTGAGTCGGCAGGAGAGACAAAAACACACTTGGATGCGCTACTCATTCAACAGATTTATATCTGATGTAGCTCGATAAGAGGAGACAATTGTTCTGACTGAAACGGCCAATATCTAACTTCACTGAGATGTCTTTCCCAACACAAATTGTAAAAAGATAAAACCAAAAATGCTTACAAGTGTACTAGGGCTGCTCGATTATGTCAAAAATCATAATCTCGATTATTTGGGTCAATAATTGATATCACGATTATTAAAAACGATTATCCATTTACTTTGAAAACATCCATTTATTGAAAAGAAAAATGTGAACAGTATGTTTTTAACAGTTGATTACCCTGAACTTGAAGTATAATTCAACTGAAAAACCAATAAGAACAATAAAATAAAATCGTTTTATTTCGATTATGTTGTTTTCATAATCGTTGCAAGCCAAAATCGTAATTGCGATTAAAATGCGATTAATTGAGCAGCCCTAAAGTGTACATATAATACTTAAAAGAACCAACTGTTCCCATCAAAGTAATAAAACACTTCCTTCGACATACAAGGGAAGTAGTTGAAGTTGCTCACGACCCTTAATGGCTAAGCTCTTCAATGTTAGTGTAACGCTGAACTTGTATCCGTACAAGTTCAGCGTTACACTCAAATTGAAGAAGGCTAATGAGGCAGACGTCCAGCAGCATGTAAGGAACAACACCACACTGAAAGAAAATGTCAGAACAACTTGAAATCTAATTCACTCATTTCTATTCAACACCAGCTGTACAGTTCAGGGACATGCAGCTTGAAAGTTGTATAGCAGTAAAGTAAGTCTACTGTTCAGAATAAGTGATACAGCAGCAATGTTTTAGAACACAATGTCCAGTACCTTAGAATGCCTGGAGAATGAAACATGACAGATATTCCTCAACTGTTCCCAGGAGGAAATGCGTGTAAACGTGGACTGCTCACCGTTTCAGCTCTGCAGTGTTCACTCTCCCGTGGTAGCGGAAACGGAGGCCCTCTAGTTCAAGTGTCAAGTCAGGGGCCTAATGAAAGACATCTGCGTGTCCTTATTTTTGCCAGTGTTCGAGCACTAGGGCCTTGGCAGAAAGTCAGCAAAGGTGTCCACAGCTGCCCCACTGCTGGGTTTAAATTGGATTAAGACCAATCTTTGACATAACTGTTTGTTTAGCGCAAAACAGAACAGCCTGGGACTTAACGCAGCAGTTTCCACATGCTCTTTGTTAGCTTCTGTGGGACAGATGTTGTACTGTAGTTTGATCTCTGTGCTGCTGTTCTCATAGAAAGTGACGAGGCTGTCTTTTTACCTTGAAATGTTTTGCACACATTCCTCCAGCCCGTAGGATGGACTGATATGACCATGTGATCCTTTTAGCATTTCATCTAGACACGTCATCAGGTCAAATACTTTATTACTCGTCTTTGAAAGCACTTTATATTTATTTATATTCACCCACAAACAGCCAACGTCTTATGAGATTATGTCCTCTTACATTTTGATCTTGTGGTATCGCATAAGTGTGTATTCCTGGTCAATGAAGTCTGCATTACAGTAAATGGATGTAATGCTCTGAACTTACCCTACAGTTCACGGTACGCACCAATAGGAAACCCCTCTATGGTTGCAATATTGATATTGATCTGATATATTTAGATATTTTTTTAGATCGTCTAGCCTGACTTAAGGTAACTTCATTTTAAGAAGTCAAGGTCTGTCTCCCAGTAGCAACAGCTCCTCTCTAGCAGATTGACTGTTAGCTCTGGTCTTTCTCTTCGTCCCTTCAGACCGGTGAATAATCACCCCTCTGCTGTAAATATTTATCTTAGACTGCAGACTACTGTCATGTATCTACATTATTAGTCTCTGCAGTGCAGGTGATTGTGCAGATTTTGTAAATCGTTCTAGACACATTAATATTACCTAAGACAGCTGTTTATTACTTTTCAGTGAGCTCTTTTGGATATTTCGATAGCATTGCGTGAAGCAGTTTCCAGGCTTGTTTAGCTTTGAGCTTGGTGATGGCCTGGTTAGGGAATCGGACATGCTCCATTCACAAAGACAATATGCTGCCGTCTTGGCAGCTAAAGGCCTTTTCAACTCCCTGTGACAAAGCACTCTGTTCTCTCCCTCTCTCTGTCTTTCTCGCCCACATTTGAAGCCAAATAGTTCATAATTATTTATGACTTCAAGACGGAGATGTGGCCACGATACTGGCTTCCTGTGTGATTCAGATGAGCTTCCTGTGTTCCAGCAAAGGAAGGGCAGACTC